GTGTGATTCCAGTGAATAATTTCCACTGAGAAACATGCTGCCTTCACTTACAGACTACAAATGCTGCTGCAAAGAAGCTACATGATCTAAAGTGTGAATGTCACATGTCACAGAAGATCTTTACAATCAGAACCGTTTCAAGGTTTACTGTCACCAATTCAGCATCTGAAGAAGTGTGAAATAGGCTCCCTTCTGTTTCTGAGTTATGATATTGAATCAGGGGTTCTGGAGAAAGTTTCGATGTCACACTGAAGTTGACATTTGACATCTCAGATGCAAAATGCTGACACTTCATTGGTTTTACTCTATTAGACATTTATGAAGTGTTATACTAAATAGCTTCTGAGTTCTCGAGTTTTGGGCAAAAATTTGTGATGTGACAGTGACCTCTGACCACCAAAATCTGAGCAGCTCGTTGTTCTGCTCCCATTTCTGCAAAACAAATACAGAGTCATTTTGCATAATCCAACACGGTTTGCATTTGTATTTGTGTTTGCTGACCTTCTGTTAACAATGTCAGTTTTTTTCAATGTGTGATGACCCCTGAGGTCATCTTGTATCTTGTGGTTGGTTCTCGTTCGGCTATTGGTTCTGTGAGTGGCTGTTTGAGGTAATCCGGAGCACCTGTGACACCCAGTGTGTTCCTGGGTTACGTAAGAGCTGACTGCAGTCTAATCTCTCTCTTCTCTGCTTCCCTCCGCAGGTATTGCATCGGTCTGGTTATGGGTTAGTTTTCTTTGTTTAGGACGTTTGTATTTACAACACTTGCACAGACATAATTCGTGCATACATCACACACACCACTGACGTTATGTATTTCTCACAACCCCATACTGGTTTGGTTTTTAATTTGGTATAATTTAAGTGAATAAAGACAAGCTATACTTTTTGAAACTTGATGTGTCTCTCCTTTGGTTGGGGCCATCTTGAGCCAGGTCGTAACAAATGTCATTACATAGATGTGGAGTTTTCAACTTGTTTTAGAGGCACTGATTGGTAAAACCTACAGCTCATTCTGTTTTTTTTTTGTTTTTTTTTACTGAAGGCAAACTCCATAAATCCACTGAACTACGGTAAACTCCTATGTTGTCCAGTGTTTTATGCATGAACTGTAGTTCTTCTATACTCTGAGTCCACTTTAGGCACCGATTATTATTATTATGGTGGTAATTATTAAATTTTTATCATTTATATACAAAATCACGCAAAACAAGGTAGAAATCAACTATATTTCTCTGTAATATAAGAACGTATTGAATCAACAGCCCTGACTCATTGTCTCAACTCTACTGTTACTAAAATTCTGCAGTGTTCTGAATCTCATTTTGTCACAGACAACTTTTTCTTAACTAGGAAAGATTTAACATCAGGCTAAGTTCTGCTTTGTTGGAGTTCTCTCCGGAGTATGAGAGGGTCGCCTTTCTATGACTGTGTGTTGCAGATGGGAAAACTCTGACTGTTGATTGTGATTATGCATCGAACAGCAGCTCATAGTCTTTGGCCTTCTTGCAGTATATGGGTGGTGTCCTGGAAGGGGTGCCGCCTGGAGACTCCATGGTTCTCCTGGGTGAAATCCCTACTCACGTGGGCAATGACAGAGAAACCTGGATGGGGGTGATTGGGTGGAATGGACTGCCCAATCTGAACCTGAGTGAGGTTCTGTTATTGGACTTCTGTGCTCGTCATAGACTGGCCATAACAAACACCATGTTTGAGCATAAGGTAGCTCATAAGTGAACTTGGTACCAGAGCCCCTTAGGCCAAAGGTTGATGATCGACTTTGTACTCATGTCATCAGACCTGCGGCCTTGTGTCTTGGACACTCAGGTGAACAGAAGAGCAGAGCTGTCAACTGATCACCACCAGGTGGTGAGTTCAATCTGATAGCAGGGAAGGCTTCCGGACAGACCTGGTAAACCCAAACGTGTAGTGAGGGTGAGGTGGGAACAGGTTCAAAGCCTCCATTGCAGAAGCAGCCATTAGGAGCTGCAGCCAGAAGGTCATTGGTGTCTGTGTCTGGTGGACATCGGCGCTGAGAGAAGCGATCAGGCTGAAGAAGGAGATTTTTGGGGCCTGGTTGACTCAGGGTCTCCAGAAGCAGCAGACAAGTATTGATTGGCCAAAAGGGATGCAGCTGCGGCAGTTACACAGGCTAAAACTGGGGTGTGGGAGGAGTTTGGAGAGGCTATGGAGAAGGACTTTTGGTTGGCCCTGAGGAAGTTCTGATAAACTGTTGGACGCCTTTGTTGTGGAAATTCTGGAAGAGGTTGATGGAGGATGAGGATCCCAGTAAAGAGAGACACACTGGAGACTAAGAAGAGTTAGGTTGAAATAAGGTTTACTGAATTCAGGAGAAGTGACACGAACAAAACAGCAGTTCAAATGCATCTGTTTTAACCGTGATGGGTCTCTGCCTTGTCTGTGTGCTCGCCGCTTTGATTTGCTTTTTACCATGACAACTGGCTTCATCAGACCGTAACCTTCAGCACACACTGGAGCGGATTGCAGCCGAGAGTGAAGTGGCAAGGTGGTAAGTCAGCACCTCCAAGTCCAAGGCCATGGTTCTCTGCCGGAAACCGGTGGATTGCTGCTGCTGGGTTTGGGGGGGAGTTCCTTCCCCAAGCAAAACAGTTGAAGTACCTTGCGTTGACGAGTGACGGGAAAAGTGAGCACAAGGAGGACATCCAAGTTTCCAAAATGAGCTTCCTCTGCAGGGTGGCTGAGCTTAGCCTTTGAGATAGTGTGAGAAGCTTGGACATCTAGAGGGAGGTCATGGCATCGAAAGGAGCCAGTTGAGGTGGTTTGGACATCTGATTCGGATGCCTCTGGGGATGCTTCCTTCGGAAGTTTTCTGAGCACGTTCGCCTGGGAGATGACCCCGGGGCAGACCCAGAACCTGCTGGAGGGATTACATTTCTCAGCTAGCCTGGGAATACCTCACGATTCCATAAAAGAAGAACTGGACAGCCTTGTTGGGGCGACGGACGTATGGAAGGACCTGCTCCGTCTGCTGCCTCTGTGACCCAACCCCAGACGAGTGGAAGAAAATTGATGAATAAATTGGATGACCCAATTGTCAGTCAGGACTCACTGAGCTACAGAAGTGTATTGGCACGTTCCATGTACTGTGCTTTACAAACTTATTGGATCACTTTTCATAAAAAATGAGAAAACATAAATATTTTAGAAGTCTTTCAAAAACTTAATTAAAACCAAAAATGTTATTTATTTGATAAATAAACTGTCACAACTAAATAGTCCTTTTTCACACATAACAACCAAAAGCACTCCATATTTCGTGTGGCCTCCTTTGGCCTTGATAACAGCTTTCATTCTTGCTGGCGTTGTTTTTAATGTTCTTATGTAATAGTCTCTTTTGTTTTTGAGTTCCAAATAGTTTCTAGCTGTTCCCACAGATTTGCTTTAGATGAAACTTTTGTGCGATCAATCTTTGAAGGTGCTACATCCCGAATTTGTTTATTAGGATTCAAATCTGGACTTTGACTTGGCCAGCCCATCAGTTCCAGTACTCCAGATTTCTTTTTGTTGGTCAAGTATGCACTGTGCAGCTTTGAAGAATGCTTGGGGTCATTGTCTTGTTGGTGTATGAGCCCACGACCTTCTCAGCAGCTATTCTTCCCTTTAAGCATTGTTCTGTTAGTCAACTGCTTATGGTCATTCTGGAGACTTTCTCAGAGTATGATGTACAAGCATTCTCTCTTCCTGAAGATAAGCAGTGGTCTTTTTTCTGTCTCTTGTACTTAAAATCTTGAGGTGTCTGACATATGCTTCAGTTACCTTACTTGGCGCATTTTTTAAGTACCAGTTTAAGAAATTGACTCCAAAGCAAACTTGACCAGAGTGTGAGAACACTTTTTGTCTTTCCCCATTTGTCTCCGAGACCATCCGGCATCATGAAGTGCTTTCAAGTGGACTATTTCATTTTCAGTGAGCTCTCAACGTTTTATCATTTTGAACAGGAATTAGGAATTTCAAACTGAAATCACCTTTTTGTACCCAAATTTGAGCCTGCTCACTGGGCTTCTATAGGACTTCAGAAATTAATCATTCACAACTGTCAACCAAAAAAACAAAAAAAACAAAAAAAATTCTGTTCAGGAATGCAAGCAAATAACTAGTGAAATAGTGACTAGTTGAAATCCTAATTAAGAAAAAGCAATGTGCTTTACTGTTTATTTTTTAAAAAAATTTTGTAAACCTGTAAGTTAGAAAATTTAGAAAATTTATGGATAGCAACAATTATTATATTTAACATCAAAAATATAATTTCAGTTAAAGACTTTCTACATGCTGGTTGTATGAACCATTACAGAAAGATTAAAAAGGATTTTTGTAATTATCGTTACTTTAGGGCAGCTGTGGCATAAATGTTGCATTGGGTGGTGGACTAATAAATTTGTTAAGCACTGTATGTTCTGGGTTGCACAACAAATAAAAACCACTAACTGTTGCAAATTGTTTTCACAAAAAATGGCCTTTATGATTGATATAATTACTGTTGTTGGTCCCCGGGCCACTGTTTACCAATGACAGTCATGATCTCTATGGAGTCCCTGTGAACAATAAGAGTCTGTTGATTTTCTGGGCTTTAACTGATCAGACAAATATGTAAAGTGATTTGTTTCCCACCGTGCTTCTTTTTTTTTTCTTGTCTTCCATAGGTTCATTATCCATCCATCCATTCTCTTCCACTTATCCGGGGTCGGGTCGCGGGGGCAGCAGGCGGAGCAGGTCGTCCCAGACCTCCCTCCCCCCGGCGACGGTTTCCAGCTCTGCCTGGGGCATCCCGAGGCGTTCCCAGGCCAGCCGAGAGATACAATCTCTCCAGCGGGTCCTGGGTCTGCCCCGGGGTCTCCTCCCAGGTGGACGAGTTCGGAAAACCTCCAGAGGAAGCCTCCCCAGAGGCATCCGAACCAGATGTCCATACCACCTCAACTGGCTCCTTTTGACTCGAAGGAGCAGCGGCTCTACTCCAAGCTCCCTCCGGATGTCTGAGCTCCTCACCCTATCTCTAAGGCTGAGCCCAGCCACCCTGCGGAGGAAACTCATTTCGGCCGCTTGTATCCTCGATCTCGTTCTTTCGGTCACGACCCAAAGCTCGTGACCATAGGTGAGGGTTGGGACGTAGATGGACTGGTAAATTGAGAGCTTCGCCTTGCGGCTCAGCTCTCTCTTCACCACGACGGTCTGGTACAGCGCCCGCATTACTGCTGACGCCGCACCAAGCCGCCTGTCCATCTCACGCTCCATTTTCCCGTCACTCGTGAACAAGACCCCGAGATACTTAAACTCCCTCGCTTGAGGAAGCGACTCCCCTCCCACCCGGAGGTGGCAGTCCACCGGTTTCCGGCAGAGAACCATGGCCTCGGACTTGGAGGTACTGATCCACATCCCTGCCGCTTCGCATTCGGCTGCAAACCGCTCCAGTGAGTGCTGGAGGTCACGGTCTGATGGAGCCAACAGTACCACGTCGTCTGCAAAAAGCAGAGACGAGATCCTGAGGTCCCCAAATCGGACACCCTCCTCTCCCTGACTGCACCTTGAGATCCTGTCCATGAAAACCACAAACAGGATCGGTGACAAGGGGCAGCCCTGGCGGAGTCCAACACCCACTGGTAACGTGTCCAACTTATTGCCGAGTATGCGGACACAGCTCGCACTTTGGTTGTACAGGGACCGTATGGCTGGTAGCAGCAAGCCCAGTACCCCATACTCCCTCAGTACCCCCCACAGAGTTCCTCGGGGGACACGGTCATAGGCCTTCTCCAGATCCACAAAGCACATGTGGACTGGCAGGTCGAACTCCCATGCCCCCCTCAGCAGCTCCGCGAGGGTAAAGAGCTGGTCCACTGTTCCACGACCAGGACGGAATCCGCATTGTTCCTCCTGAATCCGAGGTTCGACAATCGGCCGAAGCCTCCTTTCCAGCACCCTAGAGTAAACTTTCCCGGGGAGGCTGAGAAGTGTGATACCTCGATAATTGGCACAAACTCTCCGATCCCCTTTTTTAAAAATGGGAACCACCACCCTGGTCTGCCACTCCACAGGCACTGTACCCGATGCCCACGCGACATTGAAGAGACGTGTCAGCCATGACAGTCCGACAATGTCCAGAGCCTTCAGCATCTCAGGGCGAATCTCGTCCACACCTGGCACTTTGCCACCGGGGAGTTTCTTAACTACCTCGGTGACTTCTACCACGGATATGGATGCAGAAGTCCCCAAGTCTTTAGGCTCTGCCCCTTCATCAGAGGACGTGTTTACCTGGTTCAGGAGTTCCTCGAAGTGCTCCTTCCACCGCTCGACGAGGTCCCCAGTCTGGGTCAGCAGTTCTCCTCCCCGACTGTACACAGCCTGGGAGAGTCCCTGCCTCCCCTTTCTGAGGCGTCGGACGGTTTGCCAGAACTTCTTCAGGGCTGACCGAAAGTCCTTCTCCAT